ATATTCTATTGGTTAAAAAAAATACTGAAAATACAATATATAAATTAGGAAGAGTTATTCTAACTTTTTTTATCTAGCCATGAGTCCTTAAGATTGTTTACAAAATAAAAAAAAAAATACTTTAATTACTAGAGTATTTTTCCTAAATTTAGTCATTCATTTCATTTGTTTACTAAAAATTAACTCATATATAATAATTAAAAATATTCATATTTATAATTTATTTGAATAAAAATTAGAATAAAAGAATTATTTTATTGAAATCTTGAAATGTCATTTAATATGAAAAATGAAGGGATTAACATTTTTTTTAGCAATATCCACCATGTATGATCATAGGAGAATTCCTTCGATAAAAATTCAAAATTTTCAAATTTCGTAAACTGAGTGTGACATTTCTGTTTATCAATATACACCAATTTCTCATGTTAGATGGTATTTGCTATCATCACTTTGGTTATATTGTACACAAGGAAAGGTTCTGCTCAACTTGGGAAAATTAGAATAAAAGGGATATAATAATATGCATGTTTTCCATTGAGGTGTATGAGTATGTAATACATGATGAAGATAGATGAGAGGATGAATATGGGAATGCATTGTTTATGTTACCAAGCCTCCTCCAATTGAAAAGCAGGGAAATAAAACAAAAGAAAGGACATTACATTAATTCTATTGTCATAATCATGTCTTTTTAACATAAAAAGTAGTCAAATGAACTTGGGTTGGGTGGTGGATGGTATCCCATGTAAGACAGAACCACGTGGTGGGGTTAACAGTAAGATGCATAGAGTTGTGCTCAGATACCAATCACCATGTGGTTACGACTTCAAAATATAGTTTATACAATATATAACAAATTAACATTAATACTCTAAGGGCACTATAAACAAATGATTAGAAAATCAATGTTTGATTCTAAAATGATTCGGTTTTCGTAATTTTTTCTTTTAACATCTTTTTATATTTATAAAAATATAATTAGTTCTGAATAGACATGGTGATAAGTGGATTTTGCATGCCCACCCTATCCAGAATCGTGCCTTTTCAAACCCTCCTTGCAATTTTTTTAAAGATGATAACAAGTATCTATCCCTATCCTTACTTACGACCAGGGAAACTCATCACGATCGCCTAATATTTGAGATGACAAAATTTGTCTCACCCATTTTTTAAAATAGATTATTTATTAAATAAATTTTAAATTAAATTGATGACATATAACAAATTATTAAGAATCTTCAGAAAGTAAAAATGCATATATATAATCAAATCATATTGCTAGTATAATAATATAAACTTAACTCTATGGTTAATGACCAATTAGTGTAAGATATATTTTTTGTCCAGCAAAATATTTAAAAACAATAATCTAATTTCCTATTTTTAAAAGGTTATGATTTAGTCCTTGTAAAATTTTTTCATTCCCCATGTAGTTTCTCTATCAATTTAGCTCGTTTTGTCCACTAAATGTTTATGTGTCTCTTAAGAAGAGATTTGCATTAATAAAATGAAATTTTTAGAGAAATCAAATAAAATTGGGATACGGGTAATTCTTTTATGAATAATTATGATTGATACGAATCTTTTGGTAAGAAAGCTAGCGGAAAGGTAGTTACAAATTTGAAATGTAGGGTACTTTTATTTCTTCTCCTCCCCTTGTCTATGGTTGTGCATGAATTTGATTGATCAAATTTTATTTTATTAAATTTCGTGGCAAATTATTCATACAAACTAAAAACACTTCTTTTAAAGTGTTAAGATAGCATCCAATTTTGGGTTTGTCATTCTGTTCTCTTGTAATTTCCGTGTAAACAAAATTTCTTGAAGAAATGAGTTTGAGTATGCTTTGTGTTCAATATAGAGTTATATATTTATTTTGCTTGTAAAAAAGAGACCAAAACGGCTGAAAAAATGTGCACAATAGACAAAACAAACGAAAGAATATTAAAAGGATTATAAGAAAAAGTTACGATGATTATGTTATAATTTATTCAAAAAATAAAAATTTATAACATTTAAAAAGATAAGAATATATTTCGAACCTGATTATAATTTAAATTTTATTGGATCGAAGTTATGAGCAAAGTTTAGGAACCCATATTTTCAGCTTGTCATTTATATACTGAGAAAAACTCCCTAAACATTGTATTGCTTACCAAATAAACAGTGGCCCAATTAATTAGTCTAGCCAACATTAGGTGGTTGCTTTTTGCACATTTTTAAAAAAATGAAAATTTAAATTTTTAGAATTTTATTTCTGAAAGTAAATAATATCTTCTAAAATCTTATTTTCTAAGGATACAAGAAAAAAGCAATGTGATTAGTAAAAGGAAGAGCAAAAATAAAATGCCCTAACAACCCTAACACTCTCAAACAGATAAAAAGCCAACCCAAATGGCATGGCTTTTCTCATCGTTTGTATGTATGAATGAAATCACATCAAGCCCAGCCAGAATTCACACACAAAATGTATGATTGGGCCAATCAGAGAACCCACTTAGGCCCATCTCAGTGTGGGTGCTTTGTTCTTAATATATGGGCCGTCAAGGAAGCCTACTTTAAGCCCTTTCTCCGACAATAAAAAGTTAGAAGCTGAAAAGATTTTGATAAAATACTTTATAATTTACGTGTGTCTAAGCTTTTGAATAGGGTTTGGGTCTAAGACTTAAGTTGGATTTAAGCCTATGTATTCCAAGCTGTATCTACAGAACTTTCACTCATTTCAACAACTTTATTTCCAATCTCGACTTTAACTTTTTTAAAGATCCACAATACCAAATTATAAAGATTGATTCACTTGTTACGATAAATTTGCCTATAAGATGGTACATTACATATCCCCATAGTTTAGATCCGAAAAACATTAACCAATTCCAAGGAAACTAACTTTACTATATCGTTAACTCGCGTGTAACACTTTTTCTTAGCAAGTTTTTTTATATATGTATACGAAATTGAGAAAAAATTGAAGAAAATTAACTGAAAAATAATAATCTTTTCTTTTTAATTTGAAATGATGGTAAAGAAATACTTTATCAAAGTGAGTGAATCAGTTCTTATCGATCGAAATGATACTTTTTGAATTTTGTTTTTGCAGATCTGGAAACTTTATGAATGTTATAGGGAGCAAATCATGCACGAAATACTTTATATAACAAAGTAATAATGCATATTAATAAAAAGAGTCGAGTTCTGATTCCAATGTTTGTATTCATAAAATGAAACCGTTAAGTTTAACCACTCACTATTAGAAATTGTTTTTCAGTATAATTATAAATTTGGTCCAGTATTTGATATTATTTTTATTTTACATTTTATATAAAAAATTATATTTTAATTTTTATATAAAAATTGTTTATGGATTAATCCTTATTATCTATCAAAATCAAATTAATGATGATAATTTGAGTTTTTAATTTGACATCACATTTTCATTTAAATCCTTGTATCAGTATTTTTTTTTAATTATTTTCTATAAAAATTCTATGTTTAAGTCCTTACGCATGATATATTCTTTTTTATTTTAATTTTTGTATGAAAAATACATTAACATTATTATAACTTCAATAAATAATGTGAAATAATTTCATTATATTTTTTTATTTAAAGACTAAAATATATATATTATAAGCAATAAAAAAATAAAAGATAAGTTAGATATTAAAACTATAATTATAACTTAACCCAATTAATTCAAGTTAGATAAATTTTATTTTGATAGAATTAATTTTAAGACGTTCAATGTAATTGAGATGTATGTCTAGATATATATTAAAACATGTATTTTTTTATATTAAAAAGAGTGATAATGCCAAAAGAAATAAGAGTTTAATCTAAGCAAAATAATATATGATTCTGTATATTTTCAAGCTATTTTATTTTTCTGATAAAATATTTTTCATTCAATTAATTTTGATGGAGTAATTTAAACCTTGAATTCGACTCTTACTGATCACCGATGTATATTGATTTTTTACCTTAGTTTTACTTAGAACATTTACGACCTTCAATTTCTTGCTTTCAAACTCTTAATTGTAAGAAGTCTACTATATATGAACATTTTAAAATACAAATTTTTTTCGTACTCAAACTGTTGTGAGAAAAAAAATGCATAAGCTTTTTCTGGGAAATGTTTCATGGTAGATGACAACGAGAAACTCCAACAGGATGTAATACTAACTAATTCTATAATTTTTTGTACACACGTATAATTCTATAATGACTTCTTTAAAATTTTTAAAAAAATAATTTTTTTTAATTGATGTAAAACAATTTCATTATTTATACTAATTTTTTTATAATTTTTTTAACTTCATTTAAAAATTACATAAATTTTTTTCATAAATTGGTAATAACTTATTTTTTAAATTTATAAAAATATTAAATAAGAATAAATTTTAAAAAATAAAAAAATATAAATTAATTTTAACTTATAAAAAAAATCTTACGAGAATTTATAAACATGCTCACTTAAAGTAATACTTAAAACAGCTACATTCTTATAACTTAGAATCACAAAGTTAGAAAAATTACATTAGTAACTTTTAATTTTTATTTTTGTCTCACGATATGCAGATCAAGCAGTTTCCTATAATAAAAGGGTGATATGACATTCCAATCAATTTTCATTCTTTTCTGTGAAATCACAATTTACTTCCACTTTTTTTTCTTTTTGTTTTTTTTTCTTTAAACGGTTTCTTAGTTCAAACAAATAAAAAAAAATACTATTAATCGATAGTACGTAAACCAAGTTTTATGAATCAACGAAAAAGGTTATGCGTGATTATTATTTAATAAAAAAATTATTAATATAGGTATCGGTAATTTATACTACAAATAATATTGATAGTTTATATCAAAGATGTTAATCTTTAATATTTGTACTAATCATTTAATACAAATATTACTTGTCTATATTTTGTCCCTGAAATTGACTATGATAAAATAGTAGAAAAATGAAAATGATTAACATGGGCATGCAAACATAAAAGATAATTGTGAAAACGGCATCATTGATGAATATCCCATACTTTGTCCATATTAATGGAAGTACATAAATATATGCCATCATTATCTTACCACAGTTGAGTAACTTATTCGATCCCCCTCTTGAATTTGTCATTTGAGCTTAATGACTTGAAACGCAAACTAACTACTGACTTACATTAAAGAGCAAGAACAAAGAAAAGAAAAATTACACCTTCCCACCAATCCTTTAATTATACCACCCCCAAAGTAAAATTACAATTCACATTGACAAGGAAAAGAAGAAGAAAAAAGAAAAGAAAAAAGAAACCCTAATCAAGTTAGGTTATCATGGAGAATTTATATTGTCAAAGATATCAGCTGGAGGAATGAAATGATCCATGGAGAGTCCAGGTACATTAAACATAACATCATCAATGGTCCAAATTTCTTCCATCCGGGTTCTGCTATGCTGCATCGAGAGCTCGCCGAACCGGAACACCGTCGCGATTGATCGCCCTTGATGCGCGATCAAAACGCCATCAACGTCTCTGTAGTCGCCGATGCTGCTCCCTATGGTGGTCTCCCAATACACCGTATCATTGTCTTGAGTTGGGACCCTTGTAAGGTGGGAATCTTCTAAGTATATGAGTAGTCCACTCTTTTGGCAAAAGTACCCATAGAGTATGTGCCTTATCACCTCTGCGGGGCCCTCACTCCTTTCGATCACAGCCGCACGATCGGCCGAAACCTTTAAGACAAAGCAATCAACGCTCCCGATTCGATTCTCTCCCAAGCATTGTGCGTTCGTGAATAAGCTCGCCGTGCTCTTCGGATCCAAGCCCTGTAATGTGGATGATCAACAAAACATGAAACACTGATTAGAGTGAGTGATTACATCTTTAAAAGGAAAGAAATAGAAAAGAAAAATAAAAAATGTTAAATATAGTTGGAGTGAAAAAATACAACATAATACGAGGAAAAGGAGTGACACGTTATCCGAAGCTAAACATTGGTGAAGAGTGAAACAAGTACAAATAGAAAAGGGAATATTTAGGCATGAAAGGAGGGGCAATAATGCAGAGGGAGGAGGAAGGAGTATTCATTAAAGTGTAAAAAGGAAAAGTTAAAGCGAAAGGATAATTCAGGGTACCCTTAGCTACCTGCAATAAGTGGCAATCCCAAGATCATGACTCATCAGCAATACAATAATCGTAGATGACGTCAGATTGACAGTCACGTGGCATGTAAGTTTCCTAATTCCTAAGGAAAACTAGTCCACATTGTAGGGTAAAGCATGGGACAGTTTCTCCATCATTGTCAGCTCGATTTATACCCTTCATTCCTTGGGATTTCAATTTGTTTCTCAATCTTTATCTTTGTTTGGTACAACCTGCTTTGAACCCCAACACCTTGTTCCCCCCGACCCTCAATTCCAACAAATAAAGCCCCCAACTTGTTCAAATTTTGTTTGGTATCAAAGAAAATTTATTTACTTTTATTTCTATTAAGACAAGTCTTAACATGTAAAAATTTAATCAGGCTTTATAGATACTCTTAAATATTAACAACTATAAACATAAATCTTATCTTAACAATTTAGACTTATGGTAATTTTATCTATATATCTTTTGTTACAAATTTATGACCTAACATTATAATATACCATTATGCAAATTTGTTGGAAAGTTAATAAGAATTGGAGCATGTAATTAGCCGTTTATGTTGTTATACCTGAATGATGCGACGAAGGGGTCTTTGAGGGCCTTTGGCTGCATGTGTGCCTAGCCAAGGTGTGTGTCGCCACACGGTCTTGCCATTGCTACCAGCAACCACCTTGTGGCCACCAACCACCAGTTCAAGAGACCACATTCCGGGTAGCATCTGCCAAAGCACAAAGCAACCATTTTCACTGCTTCTAGTTCCCAAACACTTGACATTCTTCCCAGATGAAATCTCCGTCTCACAACAAATCATCTTTACCATCCCAGTGGCATACATGTTTTTGGTGTCCTTTTGCTGTTTTAGGCACCCTGTGGCAGCCAAATACTGCTGAATAATGTATTTGGCAGTTGAAGTTTCCTGCTTTAAGTTACATTAATGGAAAATGTTACCCAACCATATCATATACAAAAATAGAATAATAGTAAGGTTTTCAACTGTTGTCACAAAAAAATTCCAAAACCTTAATGTAACAAAAGAAAGGAATCTTAAGATATTGATTAAAAATTTAATATATAATTTTTTTTATTAAAATAGTGTTGAAATTTAATATATAATTTTTTTTATTAAAATAGTGTTGAAATTTAATATATAATTTCTTCACTAATTTCTTAAAAATAATAGTTAGTATTTGTTAAAAAAGTTACCATAAATCTACAATCGTAGTCATGAATCAATTGTAAGGACCTTTAGATTAGAAATTTAATATTGCAGTAGTGATTTTGGATTGTAATTTAAAACTTAGTGATGCAGAAAAGAATGCAACATTTTGAAGGAGAGAGAGAGAGAGAGAGCTTACAAATGGGGTGTCTTTGATGTGAATATTAAGGGTGGAATCGTGGGCAGAGGGAATAGGGGCCAAGGGACAGCCCAAGACACCAAGCAACAACCTCAAATCTTGGGTCTTGGCATGAATGGTTCCATAGAAAGAGTGTGATGAAAAGCTGGTGCCACCGGGGGAGATCCTCTGAGTCCTAAACCATTCCCTTATGACTTCCCATGAGCTCTCTTTCTTGGTTCCTTCTTCTTGCATTTCAGGGTCAGGCCCTTCCATTAAGGGTGTCAAAGGCTGTGGAGCCCAACTCTGGCGCCAACGTGCTCTAGAACCCATTTGGGTAAGAGACTCAAAATAATAACTAAGAGGAAGGAATTGAACACAAGTAAAGATAGTGAACACAAGAAGGAAAAGAAGAGTTAGGGAGTTTAAAAGAGAGGGTGAGAATAAGGTTGTTGTAGGAGTAGTATTGTGTTGGGGAAGAGACAAAAGCGATGGATTATCTGTTCAACGGCAGAGAAATGACATTATTATTATATAATACAAACTCGCATGTTGGGCTGTCTATTGCTTTATTCCTCTTGCTTTGGGACTCGCTCTTGTCGTTACATTTTTATACTGTTTTTCTTTTATTCTCCCAAGCCAACTATTCCCCATGCCACCATAGGCCCCATGGGGATTGCCCTACTTTCATCAATTGCTATTTGCTACTGTCTCTTTCCATCGCTAAACTTTTCCATTTTTCTCTTTTTTCATTTTACGAATATCTTAACAATATGATTTCGCATATGTTTCCTCGGTTTCTTTCTTTTTCTTCTTAATTAGTGTCTTATGAATAAAATTAATTCAAAAACCAGTAAATATAATTACTTTATTCATATTTCGTATTAGAAATGTATTTGAAATTACAAAAATATATTATCATATTTTTCATAAGATTTTGTTAATTATCATTACAACATTAATTAGAAATTTTCAATTTTTTTTAAATATATTAATGTTATAATAATTTTGTATTATTTTAAATATTTTTTTAATTTACTAATTCATATTCTTAAGATGTTAATATTTTTATTAATTTATAAAGTTATATTAATTCTTTAACAGCTATCTTTAGGCAGTAGTTAACTTGTGTCTTTTATTAGTCTTCTAACTATTGTCTTAAGAGCATTCATTAACAAATAAATTAATAAATTTTTTATTAAAAATATAAAAATATTTTTCTTTTGTGAAATGTTCTGTGCAGCAGTATATGCGTACTCTTTAGATGGAAACTATTTTGCGTTGCCAATACCAACTTAATTGTTTGATTAATTAAAAGTATGTAAACTTTAATCAACAAGAAAAGGAATTGTAATTGTAGTTTTTGTGAGAGCTTTTATCATTTTGTAAGGAAAATTAAAATTGGAATAATAAACAGAGGCCCCAAGTAACGCACCACGTCAGCATCACAAAAGTTATGTGAAAGCTACTTCAATTTTTTTATTTAAATTTTGCACATTTTGTTTTTTTACCAAGGCATCTAAACTTTTTTTAGGGACATTTTACCAACAAGGTAATAGGTAATTCAACAAGTGAAAAATAACACAAAAAAGCAACTATATCTTGTATACATATGCCATATTTTTAACTCAGTATAACATTGTATACATATGAACGAAGTATTTTTATTAAAAATTACAGAAAAATATTATGAGTATACAATTTTAAATTAGTTTTAAAATATTTAATAATTTATTTATATATTAAAATCATTATAAAATATATTTCAAAAAATATATTAAAAATTCTGTAATTTAATCTTAATAAAATTTAAAATAATTTATAACTATAATTTAATGGTTATTTTATATAAAATTATGAACTATAAAAACATAACCTAAATTAGTCTAATTTAAATATATTTATCTTTTCATTTCTTTAAATATACTTGAAGGATTCATTAATAATTTTAAAATAAATATATCTAATTATTACTAATTTGAGGAGAGTCAAATCAGCACCCGACCAAAGCCCAATTCAAAGGCCTAATCCGAATTTGAAACCTACTACGCTACTTTCGAGATGACTTACCAAAGATGAATATAGTTTAGTCATGTGAGCATTTCTTGATAAGATGGAAAAGTAGCACATTATTTAGTAATAAATTCAGTGAATGACATAAGCTTACTTTTGAATGACACAAGGTAAAAGAAGGTTATAATAATGTGAATATGCTGCTGCTGCATTTCTTGATCATCTCTTGATGTTAAGTGGACGATTATTAAAGTGTGTGTGTGTGTGTGTGAGAGAGAGAGAGAGAGAGAGAGAGAGAGAGAGAGAGAGAAGGGTTGGGTAGACAAAATGGAGCTAAGTGCTGCAAACACTGCACGCCTACACCCGATTCCATCTACGCAGCGTAGGACAAATCTACCGTATCTTCTTTTGTGTGTAATCGCTGAATCTAATCCAACAAAGATTTTTCGTTAAGACAATTTATCAAATCCCAAGGATCATCCCTACCTAATCATACTCGCATCTTCCTTCCATCATCATCATTCTTCTCAAAGTGGGTCTTCGTTTCTATCTCATTTACAAATAATGCACGTTCCAATTTTAACTTTGAAAAACGATTCTTTCATTATATATACATAAAGACATATAATAAAACATAATATTTTTAGTGAAAGTATCCGTCCAAGAGTGTTATTATTCTTCTCACTCTTAGAGGATATTCTATGTATAAAAATAATTTTATACATAATTTCATAAGCATTCCGTAGAGAAATTAGGTGGAGTGAATGCGATGAAATTGAACTTATTTTCTTTGGGAGCCCATAACTTTTGACCTTTTCTCTTATACGACTACAGGTAGTTGAATTTGACCCATCTGTTTTTTATTTAGTAATGGTTGCACATACTTCTCTGCTACTCATACTATAATGATCTCGAGCCCCTGAAGTTTCTTTTTCTGCAACAGTACAGATTATGCCCTGATATTTCATATGAAACGTACTTTACCCGCTTCTACGTTTTTCTCCTTTTCTGACACACATTATAGTCCCAAATAATATTGGTATATCTATAAACTTTTCTTTCTCAATAATGTTTGGTTCATGTCATGTCATTTACGTTCCTAATATTATTTTTAATAAAAAATTTATTTATTAATTCTTTAACTATTATTATAGAAAGACACTTTAAAATGTATAATTAAGAAGCTATACACAAGGATTACTATTCCTTTGCGCACAATTTGACGAGGGGGGAGAATCATATAGTGGTGGGTCGGCATCATGAAGAGATAATGTGGGGGGAGTGGTGAGAGAGAGATGCATAAAGAAGAGGAGAAATGGTAGGAGATCCTGGTCTTTGAAGCTAAGCTCTCTGCCTTAATTGATGAAAGGTGACTATCATATGGTTGAGGAGTCCTTACCATATAAGTATAGCCAAGATGTGTGTATTTGTCACTATTGTTAAGAGGATATGTATGTAGAACCTTTGGGATAAGTTTGCTAGGACATCACCCTCTCAAGTTATATGAACTCTTGTGGACACATTATCCTTATCTAGTTATCTTGTTGTCTAATAATAATTAATTTCAACTAATCATTTTCAACATCGCCCTCTTTATTGATTTTTGGTTTATATGCAATTCACTATGTAAAGAAAGTAGTGGAGGATAAATGTCCAACATTCGACAAAGGTATTTTAGGTAAGAAAAATCCATCAGTTTAATAAATGCAACCTCCTTTTGATTTTATTTTTTTTTTAAATTTGTTAACTTTAGTCTAAAAGATTAAATTTAAACATTTAAAACTAGTAAAATTTTATTAAAAAATTATTCATTAGATTAAAAATATAAAAATATAATAAATAATTTTTTAAAATAATATTTTGTTTTTAAATGCTTAAATTAATTTTAAGAATTAAAGTCAATAACGTTATTTTTTTAATAAACTCTTATACTATAAACAAGAGTATTTTTTTTGTCTTAAAAGTGAAACAATCAGCAAACTATTTCTCTTTTGTGAAACAGTCAAGCCAACCTACTCTCTTTTATAATGAGTTATATATATTTTTTAAAATTAAAAATAATTAATTGCAATATATAAATTATACTTTTTCTTATAACTACTTTAAATTTTACCTTTTTTAATTTTATTCTAAAATAAAAATTATTATTTAGTATTTTCTTATTAAATTATATGAACTTCTACTTTTTTTAATATATATATATATATATAACTCTTTAAAAAATTATAAAATTTTATTCTTTAATTATCAATATATATAATTTTAAAATAAAATATTTTTACATTTTACAACCTACCAATTAGTTATATATACATATTTTAATAAATTATCAAAATATATATATATATATATATATATATATATTATACATTTTAATAAGATTATTACTAAAATGCTATACTTATTGTAATAGTTAGGTAATAAGAACTATTCTTAAAATAATATTAAAAATATTTTAATGAGTAGTTGGTATCAACTACTTATAATAAATAAGGGTTGATAGTAAATGATATTTTTTATATTTTAAAATAATAAATAATTTGAGACAAATAAAATTGTTCAAGTGATATTTAATATGAGATAGATAATCACTACGCCAAAATGGAGATTTGAGAGTGGTTCCATTTTAAATTAAAGAGTGTTTAAAACTGCTCTAAAATCTTGCACTATCTGATATATTATATTTAAGAGAGCAGTTAAAGAACTGCTATCAAATGTTAAGATTAGAGAGCGGTTTCGCGTGAAACTGCTCTTCAAAGTACGCTCTCTAAAGTATAAATTTAGACCGCGAAATTTGAAATTGATTTCTTTGTGAGTTTTCTATTGCAAAATAAAAATTTATTATTACATTTAAATCAAAATTTGGAATTACTTTCTTTGTGAGTTTTCTTCATTTTTATCACAAATCAAAATTGAATCTTGAGTTTATGTATTTGGTGTTAACTAAACAGTCCACATTTGCATAAACGAAACACAAGTAAGTAGAGAAAAAAGAGAAAAAATTAATAAGATAATTTTTAATATTAATAGAGAGAAAAAGAAAGAAAGAGAGAATGGATGATTCATCATTAACAAAGAGAAGAAGAAAGAAAGAGAGAATAAAGAAATACCTACATATGTGAAAAAAAAACTAATTTGTTAGCGTAAAGAATATGAAGAAAGCAGACTAATACAGAATGAAGAGATACCTACAGATGGAAAAAAATTAACTTGTTAGCGAGAGAAGACGAAGAGAGCAGGCTAACAGAGAAGATGAAGAAACATAAGAGAGTAGAGAAGAAACTTACAGTAAAAGAGACCAACTTTGTTTGCTATGAAGAAGAAATGCGTTGAGCATGTTCATTTATAAATGACTTCAATAACATTAGAGAGTGGTTCTTTATTAACCGCTCTCCAAGAATGAGATTAGAGAGCGGTTCTTCATCAACCGCTTTCTAATGTGTGACTTTAGAGAGTAGTTAATAGAGAACCGCTCTTAGAAGTATAGTTCTGAGAGCGGTTAACAAAGAACCACTCTCAGAAGTATAGAACAG